TTGGTTAGGAACCATCACACGTCATATGTTTTTGGGATCCGTTCGTCGAAAATATATTTTCTAGAGTATTTTGAAAATTTTTAAGCAACTTTTAAAAAATCTGTTTTAATACCCCCCTGTTTGAAATTTTCGACCGTTTTTCGAGCTTTCGAGATATTTAAAAAATTGGTACGAGACTATTAGTACATTAGTTTTTCAAATTGGGTCCTCGAAGTACATACATTTCCTAGAATCTTCTAAGGACCTTTAGGGAATTTTTCAAAAATCTGTTTTTGAGTACACCTGCGTATGAATATTTTGGCCGTTTTTCGAACACTCACCGAAAATTACCTAAAGACATTTTCTTGTATACTTCGAATACATTATTTATTTATGGCTTCATTTCTTCGAAAATTCCAACAATTTTTCCAAATCAATAAAATGAAAACTGTCAATTTTTGGGATACCTATTTAAAAAAAGTAATTTTCAAACCGAATTGTTCAAAAATATTGGCTTATATTTTTCGAATCAGCTAGCCGAGATTTAAATCCCAGAAACCTCAATTTTTCAATAATACCTCATACGAATTTTTTTGATCCACTTTCGAGCTTTTGAAAGGCTATACAAATATTTTCAAACCGAATTTTTGAAAAGCCTTGTTCGAAGACCATTAGCACTCTATGTTTTTTGTATAAGGTTGTCATGATCTATATTCCGCATTTTTTTGAGATTTTTTGATCAACATGAAAAATCTCAATTTCTGAAAAATATTAATTTTTTATTGTTATTCGAGCTTTCGAGATATTTAAAATTTTCATATTCAGACAAAATTCTTCGAAAATCTTGGTTTGGGACCATTAACACGAAATGTCAGATCTTCGGAATAATCCCAGAATATATTGGAGGTTTTAGGCAACTTTTTAACCTGTTTTTTAATACACCCCAGTTTGGATTTTTGACAGTTTTTGGAGCTTTCCAGATATTAAAAAAAAAAAAATTCAAATTGTATTATTTTTCGAAAATTCAGGACCATCAACACCTGATATTTTTGAATTCGAATTGAATTCCAACAATTTTTCTAAAATCAATAAAACGAAATGAACTGAAAGAATCTTGGATTCTTCTGGTGCGTTGTTTATGGAAGAATTAGAAAGAAACTTGGGGGCCTGCCTGGTGTTTTATTTTAGAAAACAAAAAAAGTAGATATTCTAGACCCACTGATGTTTTATTTTTGAAAGAGTTTGAAAGAATTTTGAGCCTCCTTAGTGTCTTTTTTTAACTTAAAATAATCTTGGGAACTACTGGTGTACCTTGTGAAAAAATTAAACAATCTTGGATCCTCCTGGTAATTTGTTTATGGAACAATTTGAAAGAATTTTGGGAGCGTCGCCCGTGTTTTGTTATAGAATTAATCTGAAAAAATCTTGAAGGTTCCTGGTAGATTTTTTAATTTGAAAGAATCTTGAGAAAAGTAAAAGTTGTCACCAAAATCCGTCTGATTTTGAATTAAAAATCCGGAACCCCTGTTGTTTATTTTTTTAAAGAGGTTGAAATAATCTTGGAATTCCCTAGCATCTATTTTTAAGAAGAATATGAAAGAATCTTGGAGGGCCTTGAGGTTTGGTTAAGAAAAAAATAAGAATTTCGTCTTTTCTTTTTTAAAGCGTTTGAAAAAATCTTGAGTCACCCTGGTGTTTTGTTTTTGGAATAATTTGAAAGAATCTTAACCGTTTCTGGTGTTGGATTCTAGAGATAGTGCTAGAAATAGTGTAGAATCATTAGAACTCCTAGTGTTTTGTTTTAGAAAATTTTCGGAAATTTTTCTGTGCTTTATTTTTGAAAGAATTTGCAAAAATCTTTGGGACTCCTGAAATATTTTAGATCTATTTTAAAATAATTTTAAGGACACCTGGTGTCTTGTCTTAGAATTAATCTTAAAAAATCTTGAGGTTTCTGGTGTTGGGTTTTAGAAGTAGTGTAAAAAAGTGTTGGACTGTTGTTTTTTTTTTTTAATTTGAAATAATCGTATCCCCTCCTGTAGTGTTTTCCATTAGAATTAATCTAGAAGAATGATTAGAACTCTTGCTGTTTTTGGAACAGTTTGAAAACAATCTTAGGACTCGTGATATTTTGTTTGGAGTCCTGGAGTTGTGTTTTTGGAAGAATTTGAAGCAAACTGTGGGACCCCTGGAAGTACCTAGTACCTAGTGTTGTGTTTTTTGGAACAGTTGGAAGTTGTTTTTGAAAGAATTTGAAAAAATTTTGAAGGCCCTTAGTGTCTTTTTTTAAGAACAATATTTTCAGAACCCCTAGTATTTAGTTTTAGAAAAAAACGAATCTATGGGGCTTCTTCCGTTGTTTTATTTTTGGAAGAATTCAAAAAAATCTTGGTGCTGTGTTTTTGGAAGGATTTCAAACAAATTTTGGGACGTCTATAACCTTCTAGATCTATTCTAAAATAATGTTGAGGACCCCTGGTGTTTTATTTTAGAATTAACCTGAAAGAATCTTGGGGGTTTTTCTGGTGTTGGGTTTTAGAAGTAATGTAAAAGAATCTTGAAGGCTCCTGTTTTTTTTTTAATTTGAAAGAATGTTGCTCCCTCCTGCGGCATTTTCTGTTAATTAATCTAGAAGAATCATTAGAACTCTTGCTGTTTTTTAGTTTGAAAAAATCTAAGGGCTTCTAGTATTGTGTTTTTGGAACAGTTTGAAAAAATCTTAAGACCCGTGATATTTTGTTTTTGAAAGAATTTGAAAAAATCTTGGGGCCCTTGGCGTCTTTTTTTAAGAACACTACAGTATTTTCAAAACCCCCGGTGTTTGGTTTTGGAAAAAACTTTAACGAATTTCGGTATCTTCTTCTGGTGTGATACTTTTGGAACAATTTGAAAAAATCTTGGAACCCTGGAGTTGTGTTTTTGGAAGAATTTGAAGCAAACTTTGGGACCCCTGGAAGTACCTAGTGTTGTGTTTTTTGTAACAGTTCGAGAAAGATCTTAAGACCCGTAATCTTTTGTTTTTGAAAGAATTTGAAAAAAATGGTGTCTTTTTTTAAGAACACTAGAGTATTTTCAAAACCCCTGGTATTTGGTTTTACAAAAAAAAGAATCTAGGTGGTTTCTTCCGTTGTTTTATTTTTAATAATTTGAAAAAATCTTAGGTGATCCTGGTGCTGTGTTTTTGGAAAGATTTCAAACAACCTTTGGGACGTCTATAGTCTTATGCCCAATTACAGTTCAACTTTACTGTAATTATTAAAATTAAAGAATATGTAAATAAAGAGGTAAATCCAGTCGACTTAAGCTGAACTATAGTTGCAGCAGCTGCAATCACAACTGTCCTCGTGGTAAGGAGAGCTTAATCTGACTTTAAATATAATGCACTACAAAACTGAAAAATTTAATTATTATTTTATGGATATTACAGTCCATATGGATTGTGAAGAAGACAAAAAAAGTAGCATAGAAAAAGTAGTATGTATAGCTAAAGGAGAAGATCAAACTCGTTCTTATGTTGATTAAATTTCATGCACATTTCATAAATAGGCGAGTGCTTCTCAATGTCTATGCGAGAAGTCGCCAAATAAAAACAACAGTAGATACCAGAAACCTAGGAATAATAAAGCATATTTTACTTAAAAGATTAGGACAATCAATTTGGGACTGCAACAATTTTCTAAGAAAATTCAGCGAAAAGTTCGTACGTCTAGTATATATTTAATGTAGCATTTAAAAAAATTAATTTAGACCACTCAAACGGAAAAGGTTAAATAAATCGTTTTATACTAGCAAGCAGCCTCACATTTAGAAACGTCCTTGAAGATTTCTACGTCATCAGCATATAAGAGAATATTTGACATAATCGCCTTAACTAGATAATTTATGTAGATATCAAAAAAAAGGCCCCAAAATTGAACCCTGAGGCACTCCAGACTGAACGAGATTTTTTTTTAGAGTAGTTTAGATATGTTGATTGAAATTCCAATCAACGTTTAAAGAAATTTCAAATAGTATACCTTTTTGTCCAAAAAATCAAGGATGGCATAAACACGAAACGGGGATTCTATGAAAACGGTTTCAGCAGAAAAATTAAAAACTATCTATGATTAACTGCATTGTTTTTAATATTTTTTATGGAACACTTAGCACAATTCAATTAAAATTGGTTCAATAAATAAAATACATTTTCAATACTGGTTATGATGTTTAATTTTTATTTATTTTATGCTTTGGTAAAACCAAACATGCACAGAATGGAATTATTTTTCTGTTTTTATCAGCTTGTAATCGAATGATTCACGGACTTTTCCCATAATTTAAACTACTATAAAATTAGAAGCATTATATATAAAATAAAAAATGTTATAATAAAACATTTACGCCTGCTGTTTTCTGCAGAATTGGGATAAAACAAACCAAAAAACAAATACTATTATGGATTTAATTCATCTGTTCCCACTGAATTTATTCCTCTTTTATTTTTTGATTTTTTGACCTCATGTTAAGCCTTTCCAAATCCAACCGAACGTGAGTCGAATTTGATTACTCATAGCGTTTATTATACACTTTGTGCGAATTTAAATAGCGATTAAAATTGTTTGATGTTCAAATAGTTAAATGTATTTAAAACACATTATGTCAGTGTCGCCCAACATTTTATAAATTACACAAGTATGTGCTTGGTAGTTAACACACAATAAAAAAAAATGTACACACTACGTCCATACTTATAATTACTAATTAGCGTGAAATAGGATTTTGAAACCCACTTTCATCGTTTGTATTTATTTATCTACTAATTTATTTTAATTTCACGTGCTAGTGGCATTATTGTCCCCTTGACACACGCCGCCATTAAAAGCCTAACCGCTCAGATTGAGATTACTTCAAACACCTCATCGAAAATTACAAACATAAACTTTGTCTTCATGTAAACCACTTGCAGCTTAATTGGCTTCAATGGCCACAGACTAACAATACAAAGCTCTTGTTACACGATCTAATTACTTGTTCTGTTCCAGGGACTACTATTACGACAGGTAAGTCGCATATGGTGCCAGTATTTAGTTCTTCGTTCGTAGGAGATGAGAGGAAAATATAATCAAATTACACCCCATTATGTACGCATCGCGGAAACGAAAATCCTTCCATTTAATAATAATTATTACGAACAATAAGTAATTTCAATTTCAGCAGTTGTACCCTAGGGGTGACAAAAATTAAATGTTTAGAGTATTTTTGTGATGTCACAAACTTGTACAAACAAATGATGGAAAAAATTTAAATTCAAGCCAGACTTTTATGGAGTAGGGGAGACGAGAAACGAATGGAGTCAAATTACGGTTCCTAATTATCAAACTATTTATTTTCTAACAATATACACCATTCAACAGTTAGAATTAAAATTTTAGCCTCGTCTCCCCTGTCGCTCACATAAGAATGTGGATTCAATTTCCGACTGGCGTTTTCACGTACCTTGTTCGCTCATAAATTCAATTTAAATTGAGTACCGACTGAATATCGCGCACACATGCAAACAAACAAATCCTTAATAAAAATCTGCGGTACACGGGAGACGTGCTTCCATTACTAAGCCGCTCGTCGATATGTCCATTGCATTCTACTCTATGCAACACCGTTCTACATAAACCGAAATGAAACCAGTAGACTGTATAAAGCTAGTTGATGGTTTTAGAATGCCGGCTTTGGCGAGACGGACGTGATGTTTTATCAATGGAAGGGTGATAGTGGATCGGATGTTGTATTGTTCGGCTAGGTAATGTAAAAAGATGTAGTTGTTGTAGGGTGAAGTTGAGGAATTTATAAAAGTGGAATAGGTTGGTTTGGGGAAAACTACGTCACGAGTCAAAGTAAGATACACTAACGCAAATTGACTTGCGATCGATAATCAGAAAAAACATTTGCCAGTTTTATGAGTGCCGCTTTGTCGACCGAACTAAAAAGTAAAACGAGTAGTGAATGCCTATGGCGAATACGTTCTAAAAAATTTGACGCGATCACCTCCTTGTCAACATTTTTAACCCCAGCTATTTTAAATGTTTTGTAAACGTATTGGCCATAGTAATTTCTTCTTTGGTTATAGCCAATACCGAAGATACTATTATCTTTAGCGATTAGAAAGTTTGTGTTGTTGCCTCATTTACATAATTATCTTAGGAAAATTTCAAACAACTTGGTTCAAGTAGCCGATCTATGCGATTTTTGGTTTCAGTCACAGTAAACATTAACTAAAATGTGTTGATCGCTGGTACGTTAATTTAGTTGAAATTTGTTTTCCACCGTCGGTTCTGTTCCCGAGGGCGCTGAATTTTTGGAGTGTGGTCTTGTAAAAAGTGGTGTTGAAATGGACTGTCGTGCTGTTTTGATTTAGTCTCAGCCACGTCACTTTGTTATTGTTGGTTAACCTGTGTAAAATCAGTAACTTCCCAAACCAATCGATTTTCATCCCTCCCTATCACTTCCGACTCGATTGAATGTTTTTTTATTTATGGGTTTTCTGTAGTCATTTATTTTCCCACCCAGATAGAAAATTCTAGAATGTCATTCTGTCAATTAAATATCTGGACCCTTAGGAATCTGTGTGTTGTATTACAAAAAGAGCACGTCACGTTGCATTTACTTGCTAGGGGCTTGAAAGAAAAAATTTCTTTAATGTAGTGCTCCAAAATATAGTTTTTTGAGAAATTATTTGCAAATTTACGGAAGTAATTGTTTACAAGCGCGAATTTTTCTGGATAGAATTTATTTCTCGTTTTAGATCATCAAATACTCATGACTACAGATGGACTAACTCCCGTTACAGTAGCTATAACTACTACTTGGCCCAATGGGCAGAGTTAGAAGAACATTTTAAAGAATAAAAATTTAAATAGATGAATAAATCAAAGTTCTTGTCACACTGGTAATATTTCCAACACATTTCATAAACTGGCGAATGTTTCTCAACCTCAATGCGGACAGTCAGATTATAAAAACAGAGTTGGATACAAGAAGTTTAATAAGATCATTTTGTAATATTAAATCATCCTCCTTGCAACTAATTTCTTTGAAAATCTTTACGTCGTCAGGATATAGGAGAACCAGTACCTTTCATAATATCATTAACATATACTGCAAAAAAACTGGTCCCGAGACTAAACCCTGAGGCACTCCAGAGTGTGCAGCTATTTCTTTTTCTGATATTTAACAATTTATAAACTGCCACACAGATACGAACGAGTCAATTTAAAATAAGAAAATTAGACGAACCAATGTTTTCTAACTTCACAAGTAATAAGGAATGGTTAATTTTATCGAATGCCTTGGAAAAATCCAAGTATACGACATCAACCTGTCGTTTTGTCAAAACATCCTGTTAAGATTCGAAGAATCTAGAATCTATTACATTGGAAAACCAGTTTTTAAACCAGAACTCCAAAATTTATCAAAACGATATTCAAAAAATATTCCAACTTACACGTTGTGGATGAATTATCGAGAACATATAACCACGAAGTTTTCAGATTTCCCCCTTACTACTCCATTTTAATGCAGTCAAAATGGTTTTTATGTATAACCAAAGCATATCTCAACAAAATATTGAGGAAACGTTGGAAAAGAAAATGGATGAAATCAAAATGTGGAAAGAAATACTTCAGCAAATTCCTGATGGTATTGTGATAATCATCCCAACATCCCGCCATAATTTGAGATGTGGAAATCCCCATTTCTATGCCCAAAAAACCTGCCGCATATTGTACTCTTTACCGGGTCTTCGCGAACTAGCCAGCTATTAAACCAAGTTGTACGCGGACATGGATTTCTCCATGAAGTCCCAATTCAACATCTATTTAAACAATTGACAAACTTTAACTGGAAATCACGTGTCCCGTTTTTGCCACGCGATCTTGTACTCTTTTTCCAGTTAAGTTGAAATTTTGTCTCTCTAGAAGTTACAATAATACCTGAGTATTAAAATTACTTAAATTAATTATGCTACACAATTAAGAATTTACGTGATGTTAAATTAAGCCACACTTTATCTACAATTTTTAAACAACAAAAAATCTACATGAGACTAAATTATGCATTAATTAAGCAAATCACAATAAGCTGGTCTCGGAAAGCTTGGCGTACTTCGAGAACACGGTCTCAGAAAATGCTCGAGTTATTTCGAGAATAAATGTTCGAATTCAAGCCGCCGAGTGAGAAGTTAAATTTAAGTAAAAACATCCTCAATTTTAGCTATTAATTGATAAGCAGAAAAGTGAAGTTTGAATAAGTGAATTTTCCGACACATGGTTTATATGAACAATTTCATGACTGTTAAAACAGTTAAGAAACTTAACATAAACTGTGAATTTACAAGCAATCAAGCCAAACAATACACAAATTTACACCAACCCTTATTTTTTAGCACATGGTTACACTCACAACAACAAAGAATAAATAGCCACTTCTTGACTACCAACCTAAAGGGTGACATTTAATAATTTACTAAGAGGTCAAGCCTAAGTGAAGATTTCTACATATGATTCCCTAAGTTTGAACGATTTTTTGTTAATTTTTAAATTTTCAAATGCGATTTCGCACAGTTGTTCTCTTTCTTTTCCAGCGCAGAATTTAAATTCAAACCGGGACACCACAATATCTGAATCAAATATGTAGATTATACGGATAAAATAACAGGGAACACTAACGAACACGAAAGAGTTATCGCCGAGATTAGGCCGTTAATATTTACAGCTGTGATGAAGGGACGATAAATAGCCCTTTAGAATTTTTTACAGAACATCAAAATTTTCATCATCTCTTTTACAACTTGGTTCATATGTCTGAAGCAAAATTTTAAAATAACGATGGAGTTAACAAACATAATTGTTGTTATTATCCTCGAAATACCACGCAGTGGATTAGGAAACGACATTTTCAAACAATGTACTCCACAAATTTTTGGTTATTTTGGGAAACCAAACGTAATTTTTACAGAAAATTTTAACGGGAATCCTTATATATAAAGTTTATTCAAACTAAAGGTCGATTTATAAACTTGTCGCTGACGTTGCCGTTCGCCTTTGATGTTGCCGTTGTAAGATAAATACGCAGCGAAGGTATGCGTATCATCCGTTAACGTTGCCGTTGAAAGTTGGGACATCGTTGGGGTAGTGTGCAGTGCTGCCATCTTGGAGGAAAATACTCTGAAGTGGGGGGAATATTTTTCTGGTGGATAGCATTAATTCCATTAAATTTTGATAGAGATAATGAGATCCACTAATAGTAAGAAAAATAAGAATTTTATAATTAGGATCTGCCCCTCGACTTACGACGAGTAGAAAGAAATGACCAGAATCGAGATTGGGCGGGTGGGCGGGGCTTATATTTTGTTTTTTTTCTTAATATACATACTTATCTTTTCACAACAAGAAACTTAAAACATGGTTAAAGGTTTTGCAAGGAAATATGGATTTTGCAATTATGGGGCGGAGTCTAACTGCAAAATCGATATTTCCTTATACAAATTTTCCATTTTAAACATGTTTTAAGTTTCATGTTGTGAAAATAAGTCTACAAATATTCAAATAAAAGGACAAAATATAAGCCCGCCCACCCGCCCTATCTCAATTGTGATGATTTTTTTATTCGCCGTGAACCAAAGGGGCGAAGCTTAACTGCAAAATACTTATTTCTGTACAAGAAACTAAAAACATGTTTTTGAGTATCGTGTTGTTCAAAGAATACCATGTATATTAAGAAAAAAAGGCAAAATATAAACCCCGCCCACCCACCCCATCTCGACTGTGATGATTTTTTTATTCTTAGAAACGTAAAACACGCTTGAAATGGTAAATTTTTGTAAGGAAATATGGATTTTGCAATTACGCTCCGCCCCTCAGTCTGTCAACGAATTAAAAATTCATCACGGTTGAGATCGAGACGGATGGGTGGGGCTTCTCTTTTGGTTTCTTTTTTTAAGTAATACATTTAGTTTTCTTTGTATAACACGATTACTGAAGAACATAAAAATAAGGATTTAACAACT